CTCTATGATGTCCTATGCGGTTTTTCAAGACCTGTTTGTACAAAGCTGCTATTTCTGAAACAAAATATCTGCTTTGTATATTTTGCTGTAACACACACAAGCACTATTGCAGGGAAGGCAGCTTGATCTTGGAGTATGGAAAAAAATCTTGTAACTATGGAAATAAAAATTCAGCCTTCTGCGTGAGCAACAGCTTAGACCTCTGTTGTAACCTTCTATGTCACCCTTTAAAATCTCTCCGTAAGAAAATGAGGTATTCTACAAGAATAGAAAAACTGTAAGGCCAGTAGGATCACTTTGTAATCCCTTAATATAAAAAATACGTATTATTAAACTGTCTTTTATGATAGTGGAATATAGAGAAAAATGGAACAGTTTAGGCTGCATTCCTTAATAATGATATGGTTTTTCCAAGCCTGCTAAATTATTACCCCAGGAACGTTATTAGGCACTTTGGCCCTCCTATAGAGATCAGTACAAAAAAAAAAAAAAAGCTGAAACTAAGAAATTATATTCTAGACCTGGCAAAGCAAGTTAAATTTTAACCTAATGTTAGCCCTGGGGTAAAAGAAGGTCAAGATGTTTTATAACACAGGAATACTGAAATATTTCAATAAAGATACAGTAGCATTCGCCGCTCTGTAATGCAGACTGGACTTCTGCAACCCAGTCAGCTGGTCTTCAGATTTGTATTAGGCTGCAGATAAGAGAGAAAAGCATTGAGGTTTTTCTAGGAAGAAATTCTTCATGTAGACAGGAAAAAACAAAGAAAGTGGCTTGTAAAACACCTTTGCCCTCTTGCTTCCGGAAGAGTTGGGATTGTACGGCCGTACAGCCACGTTTAGCACTAGAAAGGAAAGCGGACGTGAGATCACAGCAGTAATGCGCTTCTTCAAATCACAGATTTCAACGACAAAGCCCTGAAGCATAAAGTATTTTTAAATACTAAGAAGAGGTGCCATTTCCTGCCTTGCATCGCTTTCAGCTCAAGTGACCTTTTCCTACAGCAGATGTTGCATTAGCGCCTCAAAGTCTTGTAGCTGACTAGGTGCCAGGGGCCTGGCTGTCGACACATAATAGAAACAGCCTTCCACTAAAGAAAAGCAGCAACCTGAACAAAATCGAATAGTGTATCAGTTTAGCATCTGGTAATATCCTCTGAGGGACTAAACTTACTCTCACAGCCACAGTGATCTAAAGCTTCTTTCTGCTGTGATCCTGTTAAGTCCACAAGGACAAGATCTGTGAGGGAACCAGACTTGAGTGCCTTCAGCTCATGAAGTGTCCAGCTAACTGTTGAACTTTTTGAAAAGTATGGGAAGACATATTATTGCAGACAAAACCCCTACTTTAGCAGCAGAGGAGGCTGAACGTGTTTATAATTTAAGTTGCTATGGGCTGCCTGTCACTACAAACTATGCTCTGTGCATAAATAACTGTGTTATTTCCTGTGTTAGGCCAAAGCAGAGAAGAAATGGCCATCCTTGGCAAAATTGCCCTCTAAAGTTTTCATCAAGTGGCGAAAGCTTTCACCATTTCTGACTCCAATTTCACTGAGCAGATCAGTACAGGTTGCTCTCTCTTTCTCTCCCCTTAACGCAGCTAGCACAAATCAAGCTTGTAACCCACTTATGATGTACCCGTGTACCCACGCTGAATTTCAGCATGTGCCACACTGGAATTGGATCCTCTCATGTTTGTAGTCTGGGAGCTGAGATGCGTGAGGAGCACGTGTGGGAGAAGTGAAGACCACAACCCAGCGGGTTGCTTTAGGAGGTCAAGATCCTGAAGTCTGTGCAGTGGCAGCAACACAAATGTTGAATCGATGCATGTGCTGGGAATCAGCTTGCATTTCGTCTTCTGCTCGTTTGCCCTTTCTGTAACTTTAACTGTCTGAAGTTCAACATATTCCACTTTTAACATTTGTACATAATATGAACTGTTCTATTTAGGATTCTGTGAAGGTCAGTAATCCCTCCTCCCTCTTTTTCTTTCTCCACTCCAACAGACTCCTCAATATTATAATGGAATAAATTCACTCCTGAGGTAATATACCTAGAGGGGCATGGCCTAATAGTTCGGAAAGGAGCTTGTGCTTAGTTGGAAGAAATGAGGGAAACAGCTAAAGCGCTTGGATGTTTCCTGTGACCTTTCCTTTTGCTCCATAGCTTTTAGTGAAGTGACAGTTGCAGCACTTTTTCTCTCGAATTGTTACCGTTGCCATTGCATCTGAGCACTTCTCATGTAAGATGAATAGTAGCGTGGAAGTCATAATAGGCTTTGTAGTTTCTGTCGTGTCTCTCTTTTCCTCACTGAAATGCTGTTTGTGGCGTTGCTGGGGGAAGGGGGTCTTGCTGAGGTTTGGAGTGATTAGTGTTTTTTGCAAATTTTCCCAAAGAGGGTCAGGAGCTCCCTGGCTTCTTATGAAAAGTTCTTCTAGGGCCACCTTTCTATTGTCTCTTATTTGCCGTGTATTTTGGTGAATGTACTTGCTTTTTTGTTTGTTTTGCGGTGGAATGTGTTTTTCCTCTGAGTTTTGAGCAAGCTTGCATCCCAGAAACAGTGCTTATGGACTTAGGGTTTTATTCTAAAACTGTAGCAAGATTAAATAGGAATTATGTCAAAGTAGGGGCTAGAAGTGGTTGTTAATTG